AAACCCAAACCCGGCCTGTGTCGCCGTGACCAACTGACCCATTTGGCCTCGATTTTTAAGTATTTTTCCCTCCTTGTTCAACTTCAGCCCAGGCAGCAGCCTCGCCGGGACAATCGAGTACCACCCCCCCACGAGGGGCAGCGACACTTGGCAAGGGGGATGATGGTGTCTTACCTGCACAGCACAGCGTGGCATGGCACAAGGTGGCACGGCACAACGTGGCATGGCATGGCATGGCATGGCGTGGTTGGTGGTCCCATGGCAGCAGGAGCACCCAGGCCACCCGGCTTCCACAGCCTCGCGCCAACCCCAGCCCTGCAGCCAAGAATTTGCGTCATTTCTTTCTCTCCTTTGGGGAAGTCGTGTCCCTGGGGCAGATGGAGCAGCTCGTGGGGCCCGGAGGAGCGGACAGTGCTGCAGTGGGGCCAGGGTTTGTCCCATGGCTGCAGGAGTAGGGCAGGGAGGTGGTGACAGGCGCACCAGGACCTCGATCTGTTCCCCAGAGCGAAGGACGGGGATTCCTCTCGCGTTTCCTCTCCACAGGATCCAAAGCAGGAGCACCCTGGGGCTGTCAGTGAGCTGTGCCATGTCCCCAGGGCCAAAGGAGCCCTGCAGCCTCCGCGTCCCGTGCCTGCAGCTGGGAACAGGACCGGGATGCAGGCACGGGGATGGGGGACATGGCAGCGCTGCAAGCGGCTGTCCCCTGGGAGCGCCCCATGGAGGACATGATGGGGCAGCTATTGGTCAGAAATGAAGAAAGACCTTTATTTACAGTAACAAATGAAAGGGACAAAAAAATAAAATACTGTGACACTTCCCTCCCCGTCTCCCCAGCCCTTCAACGGGGACTTTCCTACCCTCACCCCGCCACGCACCCTTGTTCCCGGGGTGGTGGGATGGGGCCAACATTTGGATCCAACAAATTTGGCCAACATTGGTGGCTGGGGATCATTTGGCACCAACCAAGTCACGCTGCCCCACTGCCCCCCCAGACTCACATGGGGTCGGTAACAGTTTGGTACGGCCCCGGGCTCTCCCCAGCCCGGAGAGCTGCCCCGGTCCCCGGCTGCAACCCCACTGCGGGGACCGGTGACGGAAAAGCTTCTTCCCGGCCGGCATGGCAGGGATGGGGACAGGCTGCGTGTATTGCACTTGGCTGCCGATCTCAGCACCGAGGAGGGGAAGGGGCTGGCAGGATGTGTCCCACAGCACAGGACCCCGCAGCCCGGCTAAAGGCTTCGGCATCTCCCCTGTCTCCGGCAGGGAACAAAGATCTGTGCTTTGCCCAGCCTTGCGGGTGTTCCGGGGGCGGGGGCGAA